ACCCAAGTGCCCCTATTATGGTATATTGTTATAGTTGTTCTATTTTATTATTTATTATTGTTAATCTCTTACTGTGCCCAATTTATAAATTAAACTTTATTAAAGGTATTTTATGTACAGAAAAAAAAGTATATATAGGGTTTGGTACTACTATTTGTGGTTTCGGGCATCCACTGGGGGTTTTGTAACATATGTTCCCCCCCCAATGTGGATGAGGGGAGACTACTGTGTGTGTATATACACACATGGACATATATATATATACACATATGTATACATATACATACACACACCCACATGAATTTCATACAATTTTTTTGGCTGAACCATTTAAAGATAAATTACAGATGTATGGCACTTCATCCCTAAATACCTGAGCAGGTCATTCTTCTAAGTAACATAAGTAAATTTCACAACCTAAGTAAATTTCACACTCAATAAAGTTAACAATAATACAATACCATCTAATACCCAGTCCATATTCAAATTTTCCAAAGTATCCTCAAAATTTCTTTTATAGCTTTTTCAAACCAAGACCCAATCAAGATTTACCCATTGCACTTATTGTTATGTCTTTTGGTCTTTTGTCTTTTAATCTAGAAGTCCCCCACTTTTTTTTTCTTTTTTGAGGTGGGGAGGGGCAGAGAGAGAGGGGAAGAGAGAGAATCTTAAGCAGGATCCCAGCTCAGCGTGGAGCCTGACATGGGACTCAATCTCACAACCCTCAGATCATGACCTGTGCCAAAATCGAGTCGGAAGCTTAACCAACTGAGCCACCCAAGCATCCCTCCCCAACTCTTTTTAACAACACCGACCTTTTGAAGAATTTAGGCATTTTCTTATAGAATGTCTCATATTTTGGATCAGATTCTTCCCTCAGGGTCATTTTATCTGTTCCTCTATATTTCCTGTAGGCAGAAATTTGGGTCAAAAGGCTTGATTATATTCAGGTTAAGCAATTTTGGCAGAGTTCTTTCATTGGTGATGCTGTTACTTCATGTTGCATCAAATCAAAAGGCCTATAAAGTCAGGTTGTTCACCATTAGTGGTGTTAAGTGTGATCACTAGGTTAATTACTTTATAATTAAGTAATCTGTGGGGTGATACTGTGACACTGCACACATCCCCTTTTCCCTACTTCCTTTTACAAGATAGGTTCTAGTGTCCGTTGATGATCTTTGCCTCAATTATTGGGGACCGCACAGATTTTTCCAATTGTATTATTCTATCTGTAGGTACTAGCTGGCATTTTCCTACAAAGGAAAAAAAAAAAACCCTTCCCTTGCCCTTGATTCTGAGTATCATTCTAGACTTAGGAACTTTAAAAATGCATTCAGTGCTTTGATCATCTATCACAGTCATTATTCTGTTTAGCCCAACTTGACTCACTTTTGGCCAGAGGAATTGAACTTGATTCTGTGAGCTTTTGACTTGATCCTATTAGTTTTGGGGTACTTCCTGGCTTTCTGGCAAGGTGTTCTAGGCTCACCTTTGTACTTTTGTGTTTTCTGGGCCTGAGACCTGAAAACAACCACTTCTCCACTTGCTGTTTCTTTTGTGGAGAAAGGGATCTAGGTATCAAGATATGGGCACCCGCCATTGGGAGAAATTATATATATACTTCTAAGAAATATATACAAAAACAGCTCTGATTCAAATTTAATGTCAGAGGACTTCCCCCCAAACCTTCTTTTATTTTATATTTGTCATTTCTTTTCTCTTAGATTGCTAACATATATTATTTACTTTATAGTACACATACAAAGTTTCAAAATTGCATTGCCAATAGTACTATTAGAATAAATCTGTGACATCTGAGTTTTTGTTTTTGGTCTTTTTGCCCTCAGAGTATATCCCACTAAGAACATATGTAAGACTATTATTAAACACCATTTTCAAATATGTCTAAAGAATTTTGAATGACTGCCATTTCTGATCCTTGTAAAGCCTTAGGTTTAATCTTTTTCAAACTGAAGGAATCCTGTTTTCTCTTTTTGGTGGCATGTTTTCAGTTCTTTAGTGGTACATGTAAAACACAGGAATAGCTGAAAATGCACATCCTAAGATAAGCAAGGCAGTGCAACTGTAAGTGAACAAACCAGAATTGCTATGACTGATGAGCACCTGCACTGGTCAGCATCCATTTAAGGGTGTTTTTCTATCACCTTTAAATGAATGATGGCACCTAAGAATCACCTCAGGGTATATTTTCAATGCACTGTGTGCAAAAACACTCAGTAAGTACAAAAAGCCAGTAGCCTGCAGCAACTCTCCATGCAAACATTCAAAACACCTATTATGACTGAAGAGGGCAAAGGCACAAGCAGTTATTATGACTATGTACACATCTCTAATTCATCATCTTAGGCATTTATCAAGATTGCAAAAAATGTGGGCAAATCTGGTGCTACTTTTAGTCAGGAAGAGAGGTAATAAAAGCTAAACTAAAGAATGAAATCTCATGGAGCACCTGGATGGCTCAATCAGTTGAGCATCTCACTCTTGATTTCGGCTGAGGTCAGTGCCTTGAGATCAATCCCCGAGTCTGGCTCTACACTCAGTGGAGTCTGCTTGTCCCTCTCCCTTTGCTCTTCCCACCGCCTCCCCTCACATTCTCTCTCTCTTAAATAAATAAATAAAATCTTTAAAAAAAAAAGAATGCAATCTGTCATTTAACCAATAGTTTGTCACATACTCTTGTGCTCTGCAGTGGGCTGGCACATTTCCAAAGGCAGCTGCTATATTTTAATTTTCTTCAGTAATGAAAGGAAATGGCTGTATATTCTAATGACAGTTTGGAGTCTTCAAATGTTATTTTACCTACTAGGTTTCAATAAAATAAATACCAGGTTTAAAGAACTAGAGGTTTTAAGATACTGCTCTTTTTGAAGAATAAGCATGATCAAACTTGAATGAGAATGTTTTAAGAAAAATTAGACACTGAGAGTAGATTTTCACACTTCAATGGAGGTGGTAAGTCTGAACATTTATTTGAAGTATCACTCTTGGTCAAAGTTTATACTTGCTCCAATTTTGTCTCTAAAAGCTATTGAACCACTGTAAAAATTAAATGAGCACATGTAAAGTGCTTAGAATGGCACCTGGTATACACAACTGTTATTTCTTTATGAGAATTAAAATTAAAACTATATTGCTTTTTCCCCCATCAAATATAACCTATGTTGTACAGAGGAGTGAGAGATTAAAAGCAATCCTGAAAACAAAAGCTATCAGGATGATACAGAAATCCATACATGAGCTTATAATAAATATTTTCCTATTTTCTGATCTGGAGGTGGTTCATTAAGAGTTCTCCTATTTGAGGGGTGCTCAGTCAGAAGAGCATGCAATTCTTGATCTCAGGGTCATTGAGTTCAGCCCCACACTGGGTGTAGAGATTACTTAAATAAATAAAACAAAGAGTTCTCTTAATTCAAAGATTTTTACACAACTGCAAAGTTTATTTTATATTCAAGGAAGGTCCTCCTGGCATTAGTTCTTCATACACAATTAGAATAAGTGCAGTTTTTTAAACTACACTATATTTTAAACAAATTTCTATTATGTTAAGGAAATACATCCTTTCTGGTCTTTCCTCTTAATTCTAGCTACACACTGCTGCCCTCTGCATTTCAGTTTTTCCAAATTGCCACCCCAATTATCACAAACCTAGTTTCCATCTCTGTAGGTTATCTGACTCAATGTGAAGGATATGTCTGTGTATGTAGAGAAGAAAAGGGAAGGCCCCTTCAAAAAAGCAAAAAGGAACTAGAGCAAGATGTCACAGTCCAAAAGAGCCCATCTGAGAGGAGGGCCTTAAGGGTCCTGCAACAGACCCCAAACCCCCAGAGAAGGTTCTTTCCTGGCATTCATATAGCCTCTTTGTGTCACAGGATTTTATATATATATTTTAATATTATTTACTTATTTGACAGAGAGAGACACAGCGAGAGAGGGAACACAAGCAGGGGGAGTGGGAGAGGGAGAAGCAGGCTTCCCACGGAGCAGGGAGCCCGATGCGGGCTCGATTCCAGGACCCTGGGATCATGACCTGAGCCGAAGGCAGACGCTTAAGGACTGAGCCACCCAGGCGCCCCGGATTTTATATTTTTAACTGGAAAAAATGATACACGTATGGAAAAAAATTTAGAAAGGGTAAACAATGAAAAATATAATCAGTGAAAACATTTGGCTTCTAGTCCAAATCTCTCGATAGGTTTATGTATATATAAAGAGAGTATATATTATTACAAACATACATTTCTTTCTAAACGTAAACGGAAGTATTCACATCACTCTGCTTATCATTCAAGTCAATAACTTGGTGATTGTTCCCTCTCAGGCGAGATTAACCTATATAATTTACTTTATCAAAACCAAGCAGGTTCTAACAAAATAGGTTTTAAATAAATCAACCTTCTCTTCAACAGGTTCTGCCACAATTAGCTTTTTATTGCTACTAACGCTTTTATTATATAAAGCGATGGCTCTAAAACTTGAGCCGATAATTGGTTATCACCTGAAGCGCTTGTTAAAACAGGCTGCTGAGCCACCTTGAGTTTCGGATTCAGAAGGTCTGGAGTGGGTGCTGAGAATTTGGCACTGGTAATAAATTACCAGGCGATGGTAATGCAGGGGTTGCGTGGATCACATTTTGCGAACGAACCACTATGATGCACGCTGCATTAAACTCCGTTCCTCCCACCTCCTAGCACCGCTAGTCTAAGGCACACGCGATTACTCCCTGGGGAACTTAAGGAAGAGCCCAACAACACTCATTCCTAAGGAAGTCAAAGACCCTGCACTCGCTGCAGAAATTGGAACAAGTCAAACCTACATCCGGCATCTGGCACCACCTAGCTACGTCATTTCCTTTCTATGAAGCTCCGCCCACTCCGCGTACCTAACACGAGTAAGGCTGGGCGGCCCAGAGAAAGCTGGGAGTCACGTGGGTAGGGCGGCGTCTCGCGAGGCTTTTAACCTCTCGCGAGACTCGAACCTCTTCTGTCTTTTCCTCCTTCTTCTGCCCGGCTTTCTTCCCCTCCCCCACATCGCTGACCAAGTTCTCCCGTTTTGGACCGAGTCGCCTTGTTGTTGCCGCAGAGATTCTTCCTGCTGCTGCCACTGTCGCCGCCGCCACCACTGTGCTCATTTGCCCCGACCCCTTCCTGCCGCCCTGCCCCCAGCCCCACACAAGGTAACGAAGCCGGTGAGGGAGAGAGCAGGGCCTCGCCGGGCCTCGGCCTCTCCCTGGTTGAAGCGGAGGCCTGAGGCCGAGGAGCGGGCCGCGTTGGAGAGGCCTGGGCGCCGGCAAGAGTCTTAGGGGCCCGGTCTCCTCTGCCACCCAGAGTTGGGTCCTGAGCAGCCCCGGATGGGGCTAGGACCTCCGTGCGGTGGCGACGACCGTGGCTAACCCAGGAAACCGGTCGGGTGGGGTAGGGATGGAGAGGCCTCTTGAGGAAGCCCTCAGCAGTTCCCTGCGGAGCGCGTTTGGGGGTGTGAGGCTCCGGCACTGCTGGGGTCCTCTTCGTTTGTGTTTTCCGTTTCCTTGGAGCTTGTGTTTGAATTTCGAGGTCTGAAATAATCGACCAGTTGTGGCGGGCTTTGAGGTGTTGGGTGCCTGGCTTGCTCTAGCCCCTTTGGAGCCTTTCCAAATTCCAGGCTGTGGTTGGACGGAATTGTAAGACAGAGAAGGGTCCTCGGAAACCCCGCGTGTTTGCTTTATAAATCGAGAAAGGATTCTTGTATCTTATTTTCCGGAGGAGAATGAGCCAGATTGGGTGAAAGGCACGCTCCTTACAATGCCTAAATGGGGTAGGCTTTGTGCCGTTTTCCTTAATGAAGACGCTGCATCGGCAATATTTAAGTGGCCGGGTGAAACATTTTTGCTCTGGAGAAGAGGTTCTGAACACCCTTACTAATTAGTAGTTCACGTAGAGAGTCTATTTATGTAGTTATTTCCAAAAGCCATTTATATTTTGTTTTGGAAGTGTTCTTTAGTGCTTAAAAGTATTTTTTTTTCTTAATTCTCGACTCTTCCAACAGTTTAGTGCCCCCCACCCCGCGAAGATGTAACAACCCTGTTAATTGAGCCAAATACAGTCTCTTCCCTGTTACAGGAGTTTAAAGAAAATTAGAAATTCTCCTTTTTCCTTTTGTCTTAGCTCTTGTCCGATAAATTACACACAGAAACAAAACAAGTTTATAATCTGCGGAATTCATTCCCTTGAAGCTTGGATTTGAATCACAGCTTTTCTCAGAACTAAGAGTAAAGGTAATGGTATTAAATTAAGCTGCAGCAATGAATTATATTAAGGAGTTGGGAGCAAAACTGGTAAGGATTAAGTCAGGCAGACAGGGAAATTATTTTTTATGGTGTTTTTCTTTCAGTTTTCATGGTCTTACCTTTTTTATTTTCCCCAGATGTCAGAGGATCTAGCAAAGCAGCTGGCAAGCTACAAAGCTCAACTCCAGCAAGTTGAAGCTGCATTGTCTGGAAACGGAGAAAATGAAGATTTGCTAAAATTAAAGAAAGATTTACAAGTAAGTATAAGAGGACACTACTAGTTACATTGTTTAGAGAAAGTATTTCTTTGTTTTTCAAATGATTTATTGCTTAGGATCCAAAGCGCCATTTGGAGGGGAGTGTTTCTTCCACTATCCTCCCTTGTGTGTACATGTGTATATGCACATGTACATGGCTCACAGAAGTAGGGTTGCTTCCTCTGTTGTGTACATCAAAATGAGTAAAGCATTGTTCTTATGTAAATCTTGTCTGTTCATATAATTTTTAAAAATAAGAGTTGAATTTAGAAGTCTCTGTCAAACCTTCTAGAGAATAGGTACATACAACTTTACAGTGGAAAGGGCTTTTATTTTTAAAGATCTGGCAAAGGAAATTTAGTTTGAGAGGTAACTAAAAGGAGAAAAATACATGGAATTAAAAAAGTTAACTATGCTGGTATTTAAAAAAAAACAAATGTGGAAGCATTTTATAAGTGATAAAAACAATGAGAAAAATGCAACCTGATTAAGATTCTTTTTAATGTCACAAGATTTTTTGAAAATGAGAGTGTGTGTGTTTCAAAGCTAGCAGGTAAACACCTTGTATTGAAAAACACATTATAAAGATATGTAAAGAGATACTTGTTTTCTGCATAAGTGTTACATAATGTTTGAATTTAAGGCTAGATTTTCCATTGTAGTTCTTAACAATTGTTGAAGTTAAATTGAATGGATGTGGAAAGGAGATCTTAATTTGTTTCGTCTGTCATGGGAAAGTTCAGTAGGTATGAAGCTTGCCTTTTTAAAACCTGCACTGGGGTTTCAAGACAAGCATAAAACCATTATAGTAAACATCTGTTGTTTCTCAGAACATGAGGTTGATTAGTAAAAATACTGTATATATGTACATATATATCACTTCATTTTAATAAATTTGAGAACTTAAAATTTTGAGCCTGATTTTGAAAGTTTTAAAAGGTGTTTTGATTTGATGGTCTTTCTTTACTGATTTAGTACAAAACTAGAGTCATCTTTATCCTATCTAAATCCTTCCCCCCCTTTATCATCCTCTTGCCCATTAAAATTAATATTTTAGGGATATTAGAACTGCAAATAAATGAAACTTATTTGAAATGGGGTCCAGATACAAGGACTTGGAAAGAGTTTATCTGGGCATAATTAAAATTAGTTGAATATTTTCAGGTTCAAATTGTGGAATTAGGATAAACTTGCCTGAAGTTGCAATAGTATGTAATTTTTAAAAACAGAAAATGGGACCCCTCTTCAGTATGTAAAAGTCAGGCCAGTGAATTTGAGAGTGCTAGTCAATACTAAAAAGATGTTTGGGGAGCAATTTCTCCCACTCCCAGGCCAACTTTCTGTTTACCTCAAAGAAAGATTCTGGCATGCATCATCTTTTACCAGCTTAAAAGCGGTCCTTTTTTTTCTTTGAAGAAAATAAAACATTGTTGGTATTATGTATATTGCTTCCTGGGCAGTTGGAAGAAGCTTATGTGTGGAACTGGTAGAGGGGAAGTTGGGAGTGAAGGTTGAAACAACATTATTGTGAGGGTTTTTTTGTTTTTTGTTTTTTTTAATATTTCTAGAATAAACTGTCAAGAGTCTAAGCAGAATTGCCTTACTATGATATGATCTATAGTGGAAGTATTGTAGGGAGAGAGACTGTTGTGGTAGGTATTGTAGTAAGCACATAAATGGCTTAACTTAGTGTTCAGTTAATAATGACCTGGGGGTCATTTATCTGTAAGTATCCTCTTTTCTGTAACCATTTAGAACAGCACTGTCCAGTAGAACTTTGTGTCATGATGAAAGTGTTTTATATCTGCTGTGTCGTACTGTAGCTACTAGGGACTACTGAATATTTGAAATAATGGCTGGGGTAGCTGAAGAACTGAATTTTTAATTTTTTTTAAGCAGCCACTTGTGACTACCATATTGGATAGCACAGATTTAGAAGCTTAAGTTCTAAAACTTGAGATAGTAGTAATGCAGAATGTTTTTCCTGACCAATCTTGATCACGGTCAGGATCCTGACCTGACCTTGATCCTCTTTGTCATGAAAACAAATTTTTCATTTCAGTTTGCTAGATATAGGTTTGTTTTGAACTGAAAACTACCAAAGATAGAAGACATCATTGAAGATTAGATAAAGATTTGAAAAGTGTTTCGGTGTCGGCTTCCACCTAGTAATTGTTGTCTCCATTGATTACAGTTACATCTTGTTTTATCATGGATTTTTAAAAAATATTTTTCCTTTTTATCTCTTCTCTGTTTCTGGGATATATATATACCTCATGCCTTTGATATTTAATTCTGCCTTTTATATTTGCTGAAAATTTGTTCAGACTAATGACTGAGTTTGTGGCCTCCTTTGTTTTGTGTTCCTTTAGTGGAATGTCTTTACCCTGGTTATGAATTTGTTTGCCCTTTCATTTATGACAAAATGCTTTTCTGCATTTTTTTCAGCGACTTCATTTTGCCAGTAAGGCTTCCATGTTTATCTTTTTTATGTACTGTCTTTCACATAGAATAAAGTTACTCAGCAGGCAGCACATTAATCTACTGAAGTCCTAATTGCCTCTTTTCACTTAAAAAAGTGGGTATAGTAAGATCTAGGCTAGCTACCTGACTAGCTCCCCAGGCAGTCTGTGATAATCACAAAAATAGTCAATTTATTAGGCTGTTTTGCTGAATAAACTGGTTCTAAAGGAGGCAGGGGTCAAGTCACTTGTCTCATATATTACAGTGGCTCTCTGCATCCCCGAAACGCCTTCCTTCAGTAAGCAGAGTGCTTGAGTGCACCCTTTGACCTGCTGATATGTAGATCACAACATCTGATGCTTCCTGGAATTGCCGATTACTGTAACTGCTGCCCATCTGTCGATGAAGGAGCAGTTTCAGAACTCAGACTTGGGGGAGGAAAAGTAATTAATGGTATGTACCTTTAAGAACCCCCTCATACATAAAATAGTTTCTCTAATACTTTGGTCCGTGTGCACATGTAAAGAAAACATTGAGAAGGGTCTTCATAGTTTGTTGGGAGGGGTATGTGAAACATGGCAAAATGAAAGGACAACTAGGGATAAATGCTTTTGATTTTTTTAAAAGTGTCACTTTAGTGCAGGGCTCTGAAAATTGTAACATGCACAGCTTTTCAGGACCTTTTGTTGAAAATGTATTTCTTTATGAAAATAAAATGGTAAGATGCTCTATGCTTAGAGAGGTAGAGTTCTAAATCTGAGACCTACAAATATAGAAATCATTTTTGTGCTTTAGTTAAATGAAATTATTTAATGATAGGTATTGTATTGGCTCTTGAGTCAGGCTTACTGGATTATATTCTTGGCCCTAATAGTGGTTGATTAAAAACAAGCCTGGATAATTCTCTCCTTCTTTGTAATAGTACATGATCTATTTATGCAGAAGTTCTATGCTTTCTTTGCAAAGGATTGTCTAATTAAAGGGTATTTAAATGGCTCTTTGGCACCTAATAAAATCTCATTAAAGACACTACTGAATTTTTAACTCAAATCTGAGTTAGTCTAGTTTTTTGATTCACAAAACTGGCCTTTCTCCCAAGGGCCTAATATTCCTTTTTTTTTTTTTTTTTTTGGAGGACTCAAATACTAGTTTTTCAGAAATAGCCATGAAGATCTAGAATCTTTAGGTGAAAGGTAATATATAATTTCTTGGCTACTGAACCAGAACTACTATTACAAAATTTCAACGGGAGCCATAAGGAACTAGTATAAAGTTTAACTTTGCTACGTTTTCTCCCAAAACACAGTGTGATGTTTTAAGGTATTTTATATGCAACAGTGGGGGCAGGTATGCAAGTTTTTAAAATAGATAAGGTGATGCATTACATAGGTCTTCATCAGAGTAAAAATATAGCAGATAGGTAGCACAATCTATCAATTCGTACTATTAAGTTTTTTAACCAACCCTACCAAATACCCTTGAATGAAGCCAGTATAAACCTGATAGAGAAAAAATACTTGCCACACAGGAAGGTATTGCCTTCCTGTGTGTTACATTTATTTTATTTTTTCCTTTTAAATGAAGCTGTGCTGATGTGCTTTTTAGAATATTTTATTTATTATTATTTTTTAAGATTTTACTTATTTATTTGACACAGTGATAGAGAACACAAGCAGGGGGGAGCGGCAGGTAGAGGGAGAGGGAGAAGCAGGCTCCCTGCCGAGCAGGGAGCCCGATGTGGGACTTGATCCCAGGACACTGGAATCATGACCCAAGCCGAAGGCAGCCACTTAACCGACTGAGCCACCCAGGCATCCCTGCTTTTTAGAATATTTTAAATCTAACCTGGTAATTTGCTTACCTGGATGGGGTAAGTTTTATAATAAATGAATAGGAAGACTACTGGCTTTTTATATGTGCCTGTAGTATTTTAGTAGAAGCATGTATGAGCAGGAACATTTTTATTACTAATAAGGCTGCTTCAAGAGGTTTGGGTTTTGTTTTGGTTTGTATTTTTTGACGGGTGGAGAAGAACATTTTGGCTAGAGAGTTCATACTTCTGCCAAGTAATGGCCTGTAAAACTTTACAGTCCAGGTGCATGAAATATGTGTGACAAGATATAAGATAAAAGTGATCTTGAACCTAGTTTAGTCCTTTATAATTGACTATTTCTCATACTAGATCTATGTAGCTAAAATAGGCACTTAGAAATAATGCATGGTAGGGGCGCCTTGCTGGCTCAGTCAGTAGAGCAGGTGACGCCTGATATCAGAGCCGGGAGTTCAGGCCCCACATTGGATGTAGAGCTTACTTGAAAAAAGAAATAATGCATGATATAAGCTCAAGTCTACCCTTTTTTGTTAGTATTTGAGGTTAATAAATTGAAAGGCAACTGTCGGGTTTAAATACCAGTTCCACCACTCTATAAAATACTGTATCTTAGTTTCTATGTGAGGATAATCATAGTACCTACATCATAGTATTGTTATGAACTACAAATAAGTATGTGTAGTGTACTTAATAAATGGTATATGGTGTGAGAGCTATCGTCATCAAAACCTGAAAACCTGTTGAAAGTAGGGGATAAGCGAATTATAAAAGTAATGTTACGGTTTTTGTTTTTTCTTTTTAGGAAGTTATAGAACTAACCAAAGACCTTCTGTCAACTCAACCTTCAGAAACTCTTGCAAGTTCAGACAGTTTTGCTTCTACTCAGCCCAGTCATTCATGGAAAGTAGGAGACAAGTGTATGGCAATCTGGAGTGAAGATGGACAGTAAGTGTAGAAAAAAACTCTAACTATAACATGAAATAATAAAATACAATGGTAAGAAGTTTTTATTCAGTTTGAACTACCCTATTTTAATCTTTCTATGTGGCCAATATGATTTGTAGAGCCAATTCGATTATTGGGAGGTTACCACTAATGCAGTTTAGTTTTTAGCTTTTTTTAAAAAATTTTTAAGATTTTATTTATTTATTTGACAGAGATACAGCGAGAGAGGGAACACAAGCAGGGGGAGTGGGAGAGGGAGAAGCAGGCTTCCCGCGGAGCAGGGAGCCCAATGTGGGACTTGATCCCAGGACCCTGGGATCATGACCTGAGCCGAAGGCAGACGCTTAACCGACTGAGCCACCCAGGTGCCCCAGTTTTTAGCTTTAGATAACATTTTGGGGCAGTTGAAGGTCTTGGATCCTAGAGGAGAGAAAAATCAAAGCAGAGGAAAATGAATGGATAGCTTAAATAATCTTAAATTTTTTCCTCAAATTGAAAATTGAGTGAATGGTTGGCTATGTTAGACTTGGGTAAAACACATACACTGAAATTATTCCTATAAAAAATACCTTTTTGGGGCACCTGGGTGGCTCAGTTGTTAAGCATCTGCCTTCGGCTCAGGTCATGATCCCAGGGTCCTGGGATTGAGCAGGAAGCCTGCTTCTCCCTCTCCCACTCCCCCTTGCTTGTGTTCCCTCTCTCGCTGTCTGTATCTCTGTCAAATAAATAAATAAAATCTTTAAAAAAAACACAAATCTTTTCTCAAAGAGACTGACTAAAGCACATTTAATAGATGTATAAGAGACTTTCCTGACAATATTTTGATTAGGACCCCTTTTTTGATAGTAGATGGCTAACTCCAACCACTCTTTTGTTATTACCTTTACTAAAGAGCCAACTGATGACAGAAGTTCCATTTGAGACACATGTAATAGTTGAAGCACTGCAGTGTAAGTCTTATAGGCTGAGTACTAAACCTTTACTCACCTGCTTACAGTCATGATATCTTTACAGGTGTTATGAAGCGGAGATCGAGGAGATAGATGAAGAAAATGGCACTGCTGCAATCACCTTTGCTGGCTACGGCAATGCTGAAGTGACCCCACTGTTGAACCTCAAGCCTGTAGAAGAAGGAAGGAAGGCAAAGGAGGACAGTGGCAACAAACCCATGTCAAAGTAAGTGATTTTGACTTTAGTAGTTTAAGTGTAATCTTCCCCATTTTGGTAGTTGAGGTAGTCCACAGAATCAGTGCAGGCTAGATTAAGGTAAAAAGGTTATAATACTCTTTACCATTATTTTGAAGATTAGCAATATAGGGTCAACCTTGTCTGTATGTGTATGCCTAGGCCCACTTAGGTATTCAGTATATTTATTAAGAAAATACTATGTGCCTCTCACTAAGTCAGGTGCTGGGTTTCCACCACAGTGAAGACAACCAGCTTGGGCCTTGTCCTGATTGAGTTTATAGTCTAGAGAACAAAACACAAAATTAAAGGAGAACTTTAATAGTTAAGTATAGAAGTTATGAAAGGAACATAATGGGTACTTTAAGGGAACAAAGAAAAGATACCTAAACTGCGCTTTAGTCATCAGGGCAAATGTCTTTGAGAAGATGACATCTAAACTGAGATGTGGGGGCGCCTGGGTGGTTCAGTCAGTTAAGTGACTGCCTTCCGCTCAGGTCATGATCCTCAGGGTCCTGGGATCGAGCCCTGAATCGGGCTCCCTGCTCACCGGGAAGCCTGCTTCTCCTTCTCCCTCTGCTGTTCCCCCTGCTTGTGTGTGCATGCACTTTTTCTCTCTGCCAAATAAAATTTTAACTGAGATCTGAAAAGGAGTTAGCCAGGTAATGAATGAACTTGAAGGTATGACATTGGGCAAACTGCTTAACTTCTTTCTTTATTTGTAAAACAGGGTTGATAGTACCTACATTGTAGGGTTGTAAGGATTAAATGTTAGCATTTATAAGTGTGTAGCACATTCTTGACATGTAAGAGTTCAGTAAACGTTTTTAAAAACTTTTTAAAAACTTTAAAAAAGAAAACAAGGTTGGAACATAGAGGTAACAGAAACAAATTCCTGTGGTAAAAATTTGGGGCTTTTAAAGGTGGGTGGTTTGATAAGAGAGGAGGTTAAGAGAGGTCAAGGCCAGATCACAAAGAGCTTGACCGCCACTGATGGATTTCAAATAGAGGAGATATGTGATCACAGTTGAACTTTCAAATAATCACTAACAGCAGAGGGAAGGCAGCTACTGATGTGATCCAGGTGTGAGATAATGTGGTCTGAACCCAGGGAGCAGCAATAGGAGGAGAGAAGTGTATGGTTTGAATGGTATTTAAGAGGTAGACTGAACACTATTTTGGTTTAACTTACACATATTTGCCACAGTTTTCTCTTTTTCGGATTTGTCACGAGTTTTTAAAACTTAAGTTGCTACATAAATATATTTGAATTTGGAAAAATTATATCACCTGAGTATCCCAATGAGAAAATCAGATTGTAGAACAATGTAACATCTCTTTTTTTTTTTTTAGTCTTTGACATCAGTGTAAAAAAGCTACACTTAGCTTCATAGTGGTGATTATATGATACAGAAGCATCTAGATTGTATTGCCTCTTTTTTAAAGACCTCTTTCTTCATCCTTTTGGTGATAAAGTCAGTATGTTAACTGAGCAGAAATTATTGAGAAAGCTTTAGGCTCTGATCCTATATAGAGGAGTGTTTTTTGAAAAACTCCAGTTTTTGTTTTTAAGAATTTTAAGCTATGATCCCCTTGTATGCTGTGCTCTTCCTGTCTAGGTGAAATAGTTTTATCTGCATTGCATCTCTTTTCTAAATGCAGCACATTAACCTTGCTAACTGTCCATTTAGAAATGGATAAAGGTTTAGAAAGCTATTAATGTTAAAACTCATTTCTAAAATGCACCTGGCAAAAGCAATGTAAACATCAGAAAGTCATAGTTTAAATATTTGATTTGAGGAGTGCCTGGGTGGCTCAGTCAGTTGAGCAAATGAGTCTTGATTTCGGCTCAGGTCATGATCTTAGGGTCCTGGGATCAAGCCCCACGTCAGGCTCTGTGCACCTAGCACAGAGTTTGCTTCTCCCTCTGCTCCTCCCTGCACTTGCACACACTCGCTCGCTCTCTGTAAAATAAAATCTTAAAAAAAAAATGTATTTGATTTGAATAGGTAATAGATTACAGATATGGTATGAAAGCTTCCAGGGATGCTGTGTATTTCAAATAACATCTCTTAGTAGTACTGGGTGATTGGCATTGTTGGTGTTAGTGCTTCTATTCATGTAACGTGTAAGTTTATTACAGATATTTTTGTTTGCTTTTTGTACTGCTAAGTATCTCTAAGGAAATCATCTATTAAATCTTAAGAGTTGACATTTAGCTGTTATATCCACACAGAAAAGAAATGATTGCCCAACAGCGTGAATATAAAAAGAAGAAAGCTTTGAAAAAAGCACAGAGAATAAAAGAACTTGAGCAGGAAAGAGAGGACCAGAAGGTTAAATGGCAACAGTTCAACAACAGAGCCTATTCTAAAAACAAAAAAGGCCAGGTTAGTAAATCCTTTCGTTGTACTTCGTAAATTTGAAAAGTGTAATTGTCATTAAAATAACCTTAAAATGCAAAAGGGAGGTACATAGGTTTAAAAAAATACATAACTGGATCTTGAATTCAGAATCCTCTTTAATGTTCTGTTTGGTTTATTGTAAAATATCTCCATTAGCCACTGTCTCTCTGCAATAGAAACACTATGAATGAGAGAGTTTATATCAGAAATTACAAAAGATCTAGATTGTTTACTCTTCTATAAACTAAAATTTGAAAAACTATTTGGTACCTTAACATACCACTTAGAGGGAGTGTGATGAACCCTACCTGCTTTGTTAACATGTTTTATATGCTGGGCATCCACTGGTAGATTTTATTTAAAAGAGAGCTCCAGTTCCTTTGATGTGTACTGTACCTAAGTGTATTTTGGAAATGTTTTCCCCAAAAAACTAATCAGAATGGTTTCTCTTTCATTTCCACTAGGTGAAAAGGAGTATTTTTGCTTCTCCTGAGAGTGTAACCGGAAAAGTTGGAGTAGGAACTTGTGGAATTGCTGATAAACCTATGACACAATATCAAGATACCTCTAAATACAATGTCAGGCATTTGATGCCTCAATAATCAGAAAAACTGTTGGATTTCATCTCTGCAGGGCTTTACATTTACCTTTTTATCCTTATATTTTTCTAAAGGTAAATTATTTGTTAGATGAGTAAGGAAGATACCATTGTTGTCCTTGTTTGACTTCAATAGAATGAAACTTGAAGAAATTGCATTTGATAACTGCTATTCATTTAACTTTTCGTTACTACTACCACACATTTCCTCAAAGTTTGTTGAATAAAGCAACTTTTCTAGATAGATGCTGCATAAATACAGCACTAGATGAATTGTTGATCTTCCTAATACCAGGCCCTTACTTAATGGATGGTGTGTACTTTTTGTAAAGTCCTAACTTGGAATTTTCAGATGCTCTGAACTTGCCACATATTGTAGCAATTCACTGGAACATCAAGGCAAAATACCAACCTGCTAAAGAAATCTTTTTTTTTTTTCAACTTAAACCCATAGCTGTTGCTAATTAAGCCTAAAAATAGGTTAATTTGATTAATTTAAAATGACAAACTTTGTTTTGAGGGTTTTCCTTCAATAATTTGTTTCTTAAGCCTATTAGGCTATCTCTAAAATTGATCCAGCTCTTAAAATTTTTTCGAGTTTTAATTTTATATAAAAACCATGTTTAGGACCAGCTTCCTTTTCTAAGGGTTTTTTTCTGTTGTGTTTTTTTTTTTTTTTTTTTTTTTTTTTAACGTATGCTCTTTTCCTGTGTTGATTTTTCCCTTATGGTAGTGGTACCATTTTTGGATGTGTAATGTTTATATAAGAAAACAAAAAGCTGATGTATAGCCCTGTATACAGTGTAGATACTATTTTTGTAAAAAAACAAAAAAATCCCCAAGGCTAAATTAATGAACAAGAGTACTGAATGTTTCATCATTAAAAATTTATTGTATTTCTTGTGCATTAATCTGACCATAATTTCCCTGTATATTATGTTCATGTAGCTGAGTTTGTAATTTTTGTTAACTAGATCAAGTTGTCAGCATTTGTTGGTATAAGTGAACATCACAGTTATCCTGAGTTGAGTTTAAGCCAAATATATGCATAGTAAAGTGTCTTCCTATTAATGGAAGATGGTGATTTTTAGGGTATGTGTTAATTTCAGTTTTTGTATGTTTAACTTTTATTAAATAAAGTGTTTTTAAAATCTCCAGGGTGTGTTACCAGAAGGGTGGTGAAGTCCTAGCTGACAGCACTGATACAGTGATTAAGCTTCAGTCTTCTTGCTTGCATTCATCATTTCCACAGAAGAGAATATTGAGTATGTGATAAAGGTTTCAATAAATCCTTATGTACTTCTTCCATTAGACATAAGAAATTGAATCCTAAAGGACAAACTATTTTTATCTTAAGGGCTTGTGCTGTGTATAGAGGTGTTTGTACATTTTGGTAAAAGGAGAAAATAAAAATTTTAATGACTTTTAAATATTTTGGCAAATTGAAACTTAGGACCGTGATGAGAATTAGAATTCTTTATTTTGCCCCTTCACCTCTCTCCCAACCCAGGAGGATCAGTTTTCCTTCCTATAATTTATGGCCACAGGGTAGAACATGTAGGACAGAATGAAAGGGGAAGTCTTTTTTAAATACAAGGCACAAATTACAGCAGAATAGGACTACTTAGCCCGAAGAACTCCTAAAAACATACTGTTCTTGTTACCAGTGTAACAAATCTCTTAAGAATTAATAATGGTATCTTTTAAGGGTTGCAAGGGAACCCTTTAAATTCAAAAGCACTTGGAAAGAAATTTGGTACAATGGTGTGACCACACAGAATGGGTTTTGGTGAGATTACCTCGGTATGTTTGTTGGAGTAGTAATTTACCTGTTACTTGTATAGGCAGGACTTAATGTTGAAACTTGTATCTCCTTTGACCCAAGGGCTTCCTTTCTGCACATTAATTTTCCTGGAGGGGCTTTGCAGGAGAGAGAGAAGGAGTAAGGGTGACCATACTATATAAAACATTAAAAAATTGTATGAGATTAGGAGTCCCTGTGTCAAAAGACCTAGATGTGGCGCTTTGAAAAGTCCTAGTGTCAAGATAATGATCATGTTTCTGGACTAAACTAACAGGATCCCTGGGGGGATGGGAGCACCTGTCTCCTAGTGTGATGCTTTTGTGAGAAGCACGATAGCCAGTGATATTTTACAAGTGAGGGTGGCTAAGTTCAGTACTCTAAAACCAAATATGACACTTTGTTATATATGTAACACTCTGTTATAAAATTTCATGTAGTTACCCCATCAAGAAGGGAGTCTTGAAGCTCAAACTCAGAATGAGTTCATGATGTGAGTCATGTACAGCCCCCAAGTAGCTGTGGTTGCATGGATCTTCTCAAAAATTGCCATTTGACTTTGTTACTGATCATATCAAGGAAAGAAGAGTCCTGATACCCCCCAAATAATTAGATTTTAGTATCACAGATAATAAATGCTTTTTTAGTTAACATGTAGAAAGGCCATACTGGAAGAGCCAAGGACTCAGGAGCCAGACTGCTTTAGAATCCTGGCCCCTCATTTTTACCTGTGTGCATAACTTGTCTTAGCTTTCTCAGCTGTAGAATGAAAATACCAGTTTCATTAGGTTGTAAGGATGAGTGAGTTAATATGTGTAAATTGCTTAGAATACCTGACATGGTAAACACTGTACAAGTGTTTGCTATTTACTGTGCAAGTGGTAATGGTGACTATCTTTTTTTCCCTAACCTTAACAGTGACAATTCACATTATAATGGATAACAATGCCCATTGGCATATAATTTGAAGTCCCTAATTATAAATGTATTACTGAACTGCTGTCAAATTACCAAAGTTATATATTAAGTACATGCCAGTAGAAGTTAAAATTTTTATATTAGAATATTTTAGGGCATGTCTCTGGTGGGAAGGGAGTACAGGTTATAATAAAGTTACCCTAATGCTTGCTTAAAATTAAAAACGGGATTTCTGGATCTAGATCCTATTCCAGACCTATTTAGGCCAAAGTATGTCTGTTTTTGACAAACACCACAGGTGATTCTGATGTGCATCCCTGGCCTAGAACCATGTTTACATTAAATGTAAAAACAGTTTGATTTTTGAAATGAAGGAAAAATTACTAATGGGCAATTTCCTTAGCCCAATTATTAAGATTAGGCATCAGACCAAAATGAAATGCATCTGTCATAACTCATTATTTTAATATGCTTTGTCATAGTATATATGTATTTGGGTGTTTTCCATTACAATGCAGCTTTAATGCTGAGTGTATCTGCCTTTAAAATAGCAAGGGTAGAGGCGCCTGGGTGGCTCAGTGGGTTAAGCGTTCGACTGGATTTTGGCTCAGGTCATGACCTCGGTGGTAAGATGGAGCCTTGTGTGGGGCTTCACACTCAGCTCAAGTCTGCTCGAGATTTTTCCCTTTCCCTCTGCCCCTCCCCTCTTCCCCTACTCCTGTGCATGTGCTTTCTCACTCTCTCAAATATTAAGAAAAAAATAGCAAGAGAAAACCATCTGGTAACAAATGAAAATCATAGTTTTATAAATTGTGTCTGTAGGTTGTAATTACAAAAGGTGAAAAATGTCACTTCTGCAAATTTAGCCAAAAAATATTTTTGGAGTTCTGGTTTGACTTTTTGCCTCAACTTGGACATTAACTGAAAGATGAAAGAAGAAAAAAAAATCTTAAAACCAGTAAGGTTCTATATTTGTTAAAATCTTGAGAGTTCAATAAATATCTGCTGAATTGTGTTATTTGTATTATACTATGAAGCAACCAGTTAGTATAAATGGTAGTTTACCTCTTCAACAGTAAATGTAAACATTCTTTGTATCTAGGGTTTTAGAGTTGCACGTTAAACTGAATTTTTACTACAGTGGAGAGGAAGAACATAGCAGGCAATAGAGCAGGTAATACCATAGTTTAAACAAACACAAGTAATTGAATCCCCTTATACTATGATTTTTTATGTATAGATGTTTTTAAATATCTTAAAAGGTGCAGAGACTAATATTGGCATTCTAAGAATTTGTCTTGGCCCAGCCAACAGAAAGTAAAATATAAGATGAAGGTGTTAAGAGTTCTGTGAGGTTCTTTGATTGCCTTTTCTGCCTTTCAGCTTATGTATATGTAAATGTGGTTCTTTTGTGGCCTTGAGTGGGGTAAAGCAGATCTGAGAATACTATTGGGTTTGTGGTAGTTGACAGCTGAACTAGCTAAAAATACCAAATTTTGGATAGAGTCATCTTTCAGTTCCCAGGAAATAAAAACGGACATTTTACTTACACCAGGCACTTCACCAGTTCACTTTTATGAAACCAGTACAGATTTAAGTTACTGAAATTACTAAAATTGTAATTTGTTTTCCTGGTTACTTTCTTAAAATCACAGCTAAAGAAGCCGTAGTTACATGCATTAAGAGAAAATGTTGCTTTTTGTTTGAAGAGCTACTTTCTCAGCTTGAGGCCCAAAGTCATGTTTATTATTTTGCTGGCTCATGATTTTGCCTTTCTTGGTGAAAACTGATGTGCTTTTGTTTTTTCCCCTTTCAAGCCCTGTACTCACTTTAGCAAGATGCGTGCATTTCTGACCAGAGAAACAAAGAATTCAGGCTTGGAAGACAGTTGACTCTATATCCTGGGAAAACTATAGAGTTGAAGCCTGAGACCTGCAGCTAGGCTAGTCTTTAATAGATGGTAATTGTCCAGTTGTTCATTGCTCAGAAGTATGCAGGAAGGAGTAAGTATCCCTTTGGTTCTTTTGCCAGGTTTTTCCCTCCAAAAACACTGTCAGGTTTAGTTGACATAGCTTTCAGAGTGTGATAAAACTGCTAGTTTAGAAGCAACTAGCTTCTGAAATTTGTATTTTTAATATGCATTTTAGAGCTATCTTATGGCTTTATGTCTCTATAATGCTGTTTGGTGCCCTGATGTGAAAATCTGAGATAAATATCCCAGTTACTGCCCTACCAATAAAGACTTCAAGCATTCCTCTATGACAAAAGAACTAAGAGCTTGAGGAAATGGAAATTTCAAAATTATAAGTAGTTAGTTGGCAGTACTTTAAAAGAGCTTCATCTAAGCCATTTCCCCTAATAATTTATGACAGTATATCAAGGTAAAACAGAACCAAGAAGTGAGGTGGTCAGCCAGTACATGTATTCTGAACTACACTTATTATTTGGAAGAATCAGATGTATTCCACAAGAAAACCAGTTTCCTATTAGATCTAGTACATGGACCAAGATTTTTTTTCTGGGCAAGGCCAGCACTAAATATTAACTAGGGCATTATGCAGTGGTTACTACTAGTGTTTAACAGATTCAAGCTCAGGTTAGTCTTTTTTTTTTAGAAAGACCAGGTAATCACTAAAACCGCTGATACATCAATCTTACAAAGTCTTTATTTAAAAAAATCTATAGGACATCAAAATTGACTTCTTACAAAGTATAACCTGTCATGGAATTCTGTGAAAATGAACCATTTTATTAGAAATAGTCTTTTTCTGCAAGACCCAGAGTCAGAATAACTAAAATTCAAGATTAAGGATAAAGAAATTAGAAGATTGCATTCGTCAGAGAAAGGAGAAGTACAAACCTCTTATTTTCTTTTGGTGCTACAAACTCCTAGATTGAGTATGTGTGGGGATTTATATTTTAATCCTTAAAACCTATCAAGATAGAGGTAGTATCTCTAACAACTTTTTAGGAGGAAACAGGCTCCATGAAGAAATTAACTTGCCCAGAGTCCTTAGCAAATATTAGAACTGGGATTTAAGTGTGACCCAAAACACCCTGTTCTTCCCACATTATGCTATTGTTGGTAGGGAGTATGGAATTTTTGAGGTGGAAGGATAATAAAAGAAAGGGAAGAAAGGCAGCTACTGCTTCTTTAAGTGGAAGAAAACTTACCAAAGAACCTTCCCCAAGAGGTTAAACACTTTTCTCGTGAGAAATGACCCAGGAGGCAATGTGGCCTTACGTTAGGAAATTTTGCCTCAATAATCTTCACTGCCTTTTAAAATCCTTTCATAATGCTAAAAGCTGTCACTGTCATGGGGATTAGAAAAGGCATTTCTACCAGAGTTGTCATACCTATTCTAATCAGAAACCAGTCTGACTCCTTCAGAATCTTCTTTGGTAATATGCACTGAAGATTTACCCCCATCTATTAATATATTACTCAGGCATCTTACAAAAAGGGTACCTTAACTCAGGTTAGTGGGTGGGGACTAAACAGGAACTTCCAGACATTTTAAATTTAAATGGATCGTTGTAGCCAAAGGGATACCCTAAAAAGTTATGAAGAACAGATAATAAATGGCTGTGTGTCCTACCTGAAGCAGTTAAGATTATCGGGTACGTTAAACCATCTGCAGTTAGGTTATGTGGAGTTATCAGTCAAGAAGGCATCTGTTTGTTTATAGAACAGGAAATGGCAATGATTCAAATTGCCATTAATTCTGGACTACTGAAGTAGTGTATCAAACATTTAGGAGATTGTTGCTTCTCAAGGTGTGGATGTTCATTCTTATTTTTTCCTTCATAGAGAAGGGTGGTACAAAAAGCACTCGGGTATTCTTCATTCACAATTTTTATTTCTTGCAATTAACTTTTATATCTTCAAAGTCGATTTGTCTTTTAAAAAATTAATACTTCTTACTCATCATACAATCCACTCCCCTCCCACAAGGAAAACAAACCCAGGGAAGGAATAATTTAGAGGGCAGTTGAAATAGGTACTATAGATTTGTGACAAAGGCTTCCCAGCCCACCAACCTGTACATAAACAACAAAATGGCAGCACCTCAAGTTCTCCTGAATGAAGTCCAAAATTTCAGCCCTAGGCAAGTGATGCAAGTGAATGCCATGGGAATAACAAAATGGAAGTTTAATCCTTGGCTTCCACTTACTTACCATGGTAGTTAGCGGAGTCTTTAAACTGTCTCCCTTAGGAAAGTCAAAAGTAAGCAAATACATAGAGCAACATTTTGACCCAGCCAGGAGTAATTATAAGTGAAACCAGAAATAATTTACCTGGGCTAGAGAAATGAATTTATCATGTTTTTCATTAAGTCCCCAGCACCTGAAGTAGCAAGTTCTAATAATGAGCTTCTAAAGGCATGCAGTTTTTCACACATCTACTTCAAAGAATTTCTTCCACTCAAACATAGCACAATCAAGGATAAAATATTTTTGGAGGCACAGGAAGAGCACAAAAACAAGTAAGTATATGCTGAGGCCTTGTGTATGACCAAGATGGTACACTTCATACACAGAAGCAGTGAAAGCTGTTAAAGTGCTACTTACAAAGGATAGTCTAACATTACACACAACTCAACTGCACTGCTAAATATGGTTGTCTTTATTTTCTTTTTCCTTGGCCAGCCCTATCTAAACAAAATAAAACTACAGGACTGAAATTAACAACCCATTAAAATCAGCAATAAGTTATGAAAATCATAAAGCTTTTTTTTTTTTTTAAGTAATTAAGGGTAGTTAAATTATTCAAAGTATACAAAGTCCAAAGAGCCAGGGGTAAGGGGTCCAAGAAGGCTTCCTGGGGTAAAGGGGGTTGGGGGTGGGGAGTAGAGAACATCTTGGATTTTGAAAGACAAAGGGAACACATGACGTCAAAGTGCAGGCTAGAAAAGAAATTTCACTTAAAACATTTCTGGAAATAGGTATAAGAGCAACAATAGCACCTGCACAGTGGGGCTGTGAGGAAGGAGAGAGACTGCCTGTAGGAGAATGGACGCAGATCTTCACAATAAAATGAGACAAGTGCTGAACTTAACTACGTTAAGTATTATAGTGTGTCTACTATAGGTATCAGATGGTTAAAAGCTGGTAAAAGGTAATGATTCTAAAAGAAAATAAAAACAGCATTGACCTTTTTTCTACCTAGCCCAGACCTCAATCATTTTGTGCACTATAAAGAGTGAGGTGTGAGGTGTTTTATCATTATCAAATGCTGCATCAAAATAGATGATTTTTTTCCCATGTGTTTTTCCACTATAAAAGACATCTATGTTTTTTTATGGACAAGCTTTAAAAAGATGTCATTTTGGTTTTCAACACATACAAACAGTTATCAAAATCTGAAATAAAAATGCTGCCGTGGCTCAGACCTTGGCCTGCTAATCTGCGTGCACAATTCTTCTGGCCCACGCAGACACAGAGGCATGGAGAGCTTTTTCCTTCTGGCCCCTCAATCCGAATTCCTAGGCCCTGTGTGGTAGAGGCTATTAGACACAGACTGCCCCGTGCAGCCCAAGGGCCTGGGGCAGCTGACTGTCGAGCTGGCGGTCGGGTGCCCTACTGCTAACAATGCAGGATACGGTTAGCTTGCTTAGCATGGAATCCAACAGAAAGCTGAGCTGCATGATGATCCCTTTCAAAAGGCTTCATGGGAGTCTCCTTTTGCAGAGCATGAAATGAGCTTGCCTTTTTTTTTTTTTTTTTTTTTTTCAAGAATTGATCATCCACAGGCTTCATGAGAAGCTGTCCCAGGCTGAGTTTTGATAGCTGTTCGGCTATCCAAGTTAACGCCTGATTATCCTGTCTTCCCATTACTATAGGTTTGATTTTGTTTTTAGGACCATAAAACTCAGGAAGGGTTCATAACCCCATCCTTAAATTGTGTCTACTCATGTATTACAAGCAAACTGCAGAAGAAAAAGAGGACAATCTCCAATGTCCTCTTTCAAATCAACTAAATCAAGAAAATTTCTCCAAGTTTTCTGCTGCCATTAGAAACTGTGATTTTCAAATATGAATATTATGAGTATTTGTTCTGCTGGGGAGGCTCGGCCCCACTTTTTGCTAAGTAATTGCTTAAATAGAGGTCTTTTGACCCTTTTGTTCAAGTATAGCTTTGTTTAGTTTTAAAGAGACTGCATCATGAACCCAATTTAAGAGATTGTTTGGATTGACTTGGCCCAGTGAATATTTTGCCCTGCACTGTTATGTCATGCTGGGTTCTAGGAAGTGAACGAAAGTTTGACACTGGCACTGGAGTAACCCTCGTCACTCCCAATACTCTGCAGGCTGCTGTGGTCATCAATGTCACTGATGCTGGTGGTACTGATATTGTCCACTTCTCCATGGGAGAACTCTGTGCTTTCAACATCCACTTCAATCTCCTCTGCCAAAGAGAAAAAAGGAAGAACATTAGTAATCTGCACTTTCAAAAACTAATGAGAAAAGGGCATAAGAAAAAGTGATTATTTTTTGTAGTGTAAAATAATTATGCAAGCTTATTATCAGTGATCTTTGGATAACAGAAGTAACTGAAGGTGAAGAGACACAGGGATATATTTTGCAAAGGGGAATGTCTGGTATCCAGTGGTGGTCTCAATCAGCAAGTTTACTAAAGCCATTGACGCCAGTCCGTCTGGACCTCCCACCAAAAGCACTCAGCCTATTTGGGAATTAATGCTTAATATTAAAAGATCCCAACCCCAAGTGGTTTAACAACATCTGTCTTGCATTAAACTAGAAACTAATTCTCAGTGTTGTTTATTAATCAGAGTTGCCTTAAAAAGGGGAAAAAGCATCAACTTAGTATAGGTGAACTAGAAAATTTATCCATTTATTATCACTTCTCGGCCTTTTGGCTAAGATCAAGTATAGAAAATTTATCCATTTATTCTTGCCTTTGGCAGTCTCATTCTACAGACAGTTCTACAGACTTCTAGGATTCATTATAAAGACCTTTGACTATTCAGTAACTGAACTAAGCCAGTCATTATAGAGTGAACTCTGAGGGATTTGTCTTCAATTTGATTTAATTTTCTTGCATCAAATATAGCTTGAAATGAGGGTGTGAGCCTTAAAAGCCTCTGAGTTATAGTGAGATCAATAGCAAAGATTACAGTAAAGGCATTTCAGTAATGGTATTTAACTTTACTTCAAAATCAAACATGATTTTTTTTTAAAAATCCCTAAACACATATGACCAGCTACCAACAGTTTGTTAAATACTACATATACAATCACCAATACTACATAAAATACACATTTTAAAAACCAAAAGGCAGTTGAAAAACTGTTCTGTCCCATAACAGCTAGAACAAACTCAAGATCCTTCAATTCTTTTAAGCTCAAAGTCTGATGTTTCATATTTGGCACCGACTCTAAGGGTTCATACTGATCACAATTGCTTTTAGGAAAAGTGAATTCTTGCTGAGCCCAAGACGACAGAGTAAGTTATTTCAAAGAGTATAATTTTCAAAAGGGCTTGTTGCTTCAAAAAGGTTTAGAAATCTGTTTCTAAAATGCAGGCATCTGTCCAAACAAGCTGTACAAACAATCCTATGAATTCATAACTATTTGTTTTACATCCATAATGCTTCACAGGCTATTTGGTGTTTCCTGGTATCACAGAATACTCATCCAACCTACAACTGGAAAATGGAATCAAAACACCCTATCCAGCAGAGCTTGCTCTGCTCAATCATAACAAAGTAAAATGAGAGACTGTGCTAGCCCAGTGAACTAGAGATATTCCTAAAAGTCCCTTGTAATACTGGGAAAGAGGTAGTAGCACATGGGGACTACTAAAAAAATGGGAACTATAATGATGAAGACACACTCTTTCTCAAATTTGGAGGTGGGGTGGGTACAAGGAGGAGTTAACGGCAGGAAGGGCAGCTAAAGCCTGCAGACCTGACAAAGTCACACAGCCAGTAACCAGTAGAAGAAAGACTAGGATCAAGGTCTGCCTCTTAATTTGGGGTCATTCCTTCTACACCTCACTGTCATTCATAAATGTAGCATGTCCCTGAGGTTCCTGCTGCTGCCTCTGGTTAAACTTCTGTTCTCTAAAACTGCCACATAAAAACAAACTTAAACAGCAAAACAACAGCAACAAACCCAAGGACTCTTAGGGTTGTGTTAAAAGGGATCAAAAATCAATTTGAAATGTTTCTATGGAATATGGGAAATTTGAGTATTAGAATAAAAAGACTACAATGGATTGGAACACATTCAAAACATGAAAACCTGGGGCGCCTGGGTGGCTCAGTCGTTAAGCGTCTGCCTTCGGCTCAGGTCATGATCCCAGGGTCCTGGGATCGAGCCCCGCATCGGGCTCCCTGCTCGGCGGGAAGCCTGCTTCTCCCTCTCCCACTCCCCCTGCTTGTGTTCCCTCTCTCGCTGTGTCTCTCTCTGTCAAATAAATAAAATCTTTAAAAAAGAAAAAAAAGAAAACCTAGGAGTTCATAAGATAATCAAAACCAAATAGCAAAACAAAAAAACCCTGTTACCTCTGGAGGTTGCTAAGACACCGACCGATTCATTAATTCAGAAAATTGACAAAAAAAAAATTTTTTTTAAAGCATTTTATCCCATCTTCCCTATATGGACTTGATTTCAGGGTAACCAAAAAAGTTGATGAGGAAATGTTATTTAAAAAAGTTAGTAAATGTGAAAAGAATGTCAGAATTAGAAAATACTATTTGTAATACCTAATAAAATAATAATGGGGACCATCATTAATGATTGCTAAAACTATTAAGTGAAAGGTTGAGATTTGCATAAATGTATCAGCACCACCTCTGAAGTATTCCAGCCTCAAAAAAAGAACCTGAATTTAATCAAGCCACTAGATTCACCAACCAGTTTACAGGAAATAGGAACAGAAGAGTATGTTAAATGATGCCATGCGGATTCTATCAGCCAAATCTAGAACATGGGAAGTTCTATAAGAAAAATGACTCCGTTCCTTTTTATTTAAGATTTATTTATTTATATGAGAGAGAGTGGACAGTGGGGGGAGGGACAGAGGGAGAGAGAATCCCAAGCAGACTCTGCACAGAGCCTGACATGGGGGACTCGATCTCACTACCCCAAGATCACTATCTGAGTTGAAACCAAGGGTCAGATGCTCAACCGACTGTGCCACCCAAGTGCCCCAAAATGATTCTGTTTCTACAACAAATAAATGGCACTGGGGAGAAAAAAATGTGGAAGTGAGAACTATTATAGATGAAAAGTATCATAAAAGGCATGAACAAATGCAATATGGACTTGGTTTGGATTCTACTTCAAACACACCAATGGTAAAATGCCATCTTTGAGAACATCTATCAGAAATTGATGGTATTCGACATTAAATAAGATTATCTGACTTTATTAATTTTGTGGGATATAATAGCATTATGATTATTTTTTAAGTCCCATTTATTAAAGATACATACTGAAGTATTTAGGGACAAAATAACAATGTTATCTGGGATTTGACTTAAAACATTCCAGAAAAAACAGTGAGGATGAGGGGGTGGAGAATCAATGAAAGAATGGCAGAATGTTGTCAGCTGTTCAAACTGGATGATGGGTACATGAGAATTCAATATTCTATTCTACTTTTGTGTATGTTTGAAAATTTCCATAATAAAAAGTCAAAACAAATTTTACAAACAATTCCTTTTTTTTTAGAATCCTCAAGATCTCGTGAGCTCTATTTTCCCTAATATAAAGCTTAAAATCATGAGAGTTCACCTCTGGGATCTTCTATTGTGTTGGGAGGCCTGATGTGGTGGGAACTTTAGATGAACAGATCAGTAAAATTCAAACAAAATTTTTGGTTGATTCTTGGTCTTTCATTCTGCCAAAGACAAATGTTCTGGGACGGATGGAAAGAGAAATGAAGGGTGTGGTACTTTAAAATACAGACATAAAAATTAACATCACCAATTATAAAACATATCAACATCATGTATCTTCCTAATATAATGAATTGAGAAGAGCACAAATCACTCTGTGATATTTCTTCCCCCTAAATGTATAACATCAACTTAATGAGAAAACATCAGACACTGTATAAAATAACTGGCCAATACTCTTCAAAAGTGTCACGGTCATAGAGATGGAGGAACTATCTAATGCAATGTTGGATCCTGCATTGGATCCTAGATCAGACAAAGGACATTAGTGGGAAAACTGGTGAAATTTGAGTAAGGTCTATAGATTAATAATATTACATGAATGTTAATTTTCTGGTTGCAGTGACTGTATTATGTCTACAAAAGATGTTAACAGTAGGGAAACCTGGGTGAAGAGTATATGAGAACTCTACAATTTTCTACAGAAGACACAACTTCTCTGTAAGTTTAAAATTGTTTCAAAGTAGAGGGGCGCCTGGGTGGCTTAGTCGGTTATGCGTCTGCCGTCGGCTCATGGTCATGATCCCAGGGTCCTGGGAGAGAGCCTCGCGTCGGGCTCCCTGCTCAGCGGGGAGTCTGCTTCTCCTTCTCACAGCTCACGTTCTCTGTCGCTATCTTTGTCTCTCTCTCTCAAATAAAATCTTAAAAAAAATTGTTTCAAACTAGAAAGTTAAAAATATATAACTACATAATAAGGAAAAAAAGTTTTATAGTTCATTCAGGCATTGCTAGACAATGTTGTGACTGCACAAAATCCAGAATGGTGCAGTATTGGCTAAAGAGAAGAAAGCAAATACAGTGCTTTCCAACTTACCCTGCCTCTATTTAGATACAGGGATGCTTAGTATTTCATTAGGGAAGAAGCAAACTGCTTACCTCGCTCTGAATCAGAACGATCTGAAGAAATAGTTGACCCAATGCTGTCCATTCGTATTCGTTCCATCTCCTGAGGACCCTGCAGCTGTTCCAGTCGCCGCTTTAAAAATCTCTGTTCTCGTTCCAAGTTCTCTAGCTGGTGCTGGCTCTTCCTCTCAGCTTCTTCAAGTTTCTAAAATGATAAAATGATACTTGTGTACAGTCCAGTACAAACAATAAAATTCATTTTTACCTAACAACTTAAAAGATTTCTTCTTTGGTAGAGAAAATATGAATGAATATACAAGTATATATGTGTGTGTGTATATAAAAACATACATAAATACATATTTTTAAACACCAAAATAGTTCTTTTGTGTGTGTGTGTGTGTAATGAATGCTACATTACTAGAACAGTATGAAATTCTCAAAGTCTGTAAAGTTATCTCCATGAAAGAGAAACTTATTCTGCAATGTAGTTCGATGGAAAAATACTGAGGGACACAGCCAAATAAAGTCATCTCCACCAGAGGGCACAACTGCGTTCCTTCTGCCGGTCAGCAGAGCAATTGTTAGTTTCCTAGTATTCCCAGCTCCTCAAATGACCATGCTGTCAAAACAATTTAATCAGGTTACGTTGCTCCCCTCAGGTTAGCTGATAAGTTTTCAGAGAGATTCCTCTTGAGGTCAGTTATTAAGGAGGACACAGTGAGCTAGCTGATGTTTATGAATAGGAAGCACTGCTTATAATGAAACAAGGGCTGAGACAATCATGTACAAATATGAAAGAAATTCTCACCTTGATGTGTGCTTTGGCTTTGTTAAGCAAACCAAGTGTTGTGTGCCTGGTACAGTCTGGTCCTAGTGGAATCAGAACTTTCAAGCGTTCTAAACACAGGCGCAGATGAGCTCGTCTACAAAAGACAACAAAAATGAAATCAGCACAGCCTGAATATTCCACTAGAAACATCCTAAAACCCATTTTAAGACAAATATTAATTCACAGATTATTTAGTCTCTATCCGTGTTACACCCCTAATTCTTCAGTTTCAAAGGATGTGCAAGTACAGGCATGCCTGCTGGTTTTCAGTCTCTGCCATTTCTGTTGTACTGTACAGACTCGGTCACTTCAGATTATTATCCCCAGTGGTAATCTCTGTCAGAGTTTATTTAATTTTTAAGCCACCCCCTTAAACTGTCTCCAACTGTATTAATGTGGAAGTAGGAAAGCATACTAGGGCAATTAATTGTATCTGATTTTGAACGCCTAGAACCACAGGCTAGAGTAGCAGTTTCCAGCTGGAGTACCCCACGGGGTATAAATTGCTCATGAATTTCCATTTCTCCCCTCCCATCTTTTACACACACCTCTCTCTACAACTGTAGCCATCCTACAGTGTCACGTTGTTATGTACTAGGATGAACCACAGAAAATTCCTGATATACAATTCTCACTTATAAAAATGGCAACTTCGTATGATTCAGCACATTAGCAACAGCAAAACTGTGTGATCAGCTAGAACAGGGTTAGGCAAAATATATGGCTCTGTGGTCAACTTCAGCCATTGAAACAACAACCCATAAACACCTGTTTCCTAATATCTCAGTGTACCAGCCAATTAGTTTTAAATTTTTATTTCTGCCCCTCTCCTCTCTCTCTCATTATCATACCTCCAATTTTCTACACATGGGAAAAAGCTAGGTAAAATTTTTTTTTCAAGATTTTTATTTATTTATTTGAGAGAATGAGAGAGCACAATCAGGGGAGGGCAGAGGGAGAGAGAAGCAGGCTCTCCGCTGAGCAGGAAGTCCAACATGGGGCTTCATCCCAGGACCTTGGGATCATGACCTGAGCCGAAGGCAGGTGCTTAACCAACTGAGCCACTCAGGCACCCTGACAAAATTCTTTACAAAAATTATTGCATTCTTTAATCCACCCATCCTATGGGCAACTTCAGCACAGTCTCATGGATTTACCTTCCCTGTATCCTAAAGGTACTATGATCACCATGATGAGAGTTCTGGGTACATAATTGTACACTAAAACAATGCTGGTCCACATCTTTGGTTCTGTGCTTCATAAGCATAACATAATTCAGCAATTAATAAACAGTATATCTGAAAAGAAAATCCACAAACGTGTTCACAAGTTATCCTTATTCCCTAAAGAGTTATAATTTGACCATTTAGCAACTGTCTAAATTGCACCAGGAACAAAACACATCATCCTCTCAAAGAGGGCCAAAATGGCTTACAGTTCACCCACCAAACTGTGCTTTCTTGGTCTTAATACACAAGAAATAATAAGTGAAATTCTCAAATGCTAGCAATTTGAAAGCGGGGCAGGAGAAGACAATAAGCAACCAATTATGTCACTGACAAGCAAGGATGATTAAGGGTAGTGAGGTCAGAGGTTTGGTAATGAACTGTCAAGATTCTTCCAATACCCACTACCCCAGCTATAGTTAGGGGTCCATTAGTATTTCCATTCCAAATCTCTTTACTGAGTTCAGTAACTCAAATCTAATAGTTGGCTCCAGGCTGAAATCTGACATATCTGCTGTAGATAAGCGAATTTTAAATTTTCCCCTAAATTAAAGGTATATCAATGAATTCCCCTTAATGAGATTTAACAATTTTAAAGTCATTCTGCTCTCCTGCTATGCTACCCCAAATCATAGAACCTTTAGTAAAATTCTCATTTTTAACTGGAAAACCTCTTAAGTGAGGACTCACATGATCACTGAGTGCTTTTGCTGAGCAGACTAAAACAACAAAAAACAAAACAAAAAAATCCATAGTAAAAAGTACCTTTAAACTCTTCATTAGAATTATAGGATATGCCTCACAACTGCACTCATATATGACTGGAAGATGGAGAGAAAGATTGGTGGTTGTTTTGCTAATAACTAGAGGCTCCCAAGGGGGCTCTGAATTCAGTCATCTAAAAAAGTTAATAGAGCAACTAACAAAGTTAACATGTTGCCACAAGAATAATTTGTCAATTTTATTTTCTTAACCCCAGAAATTCAGTGCATATACAGGAAATATCTTTTACATTGAGTTTAAGGAACTTCAGAATGACTCCTTACGGGAGTTTTACATCAAGGAAAAAATGGCTGGGTCACTTTTTGTTTTGTGAGATCTAAGTCATATTAAAATCTAGGTAGCAATCAACTAACATAATATTAAAATGTCTATGTTTTTTTCTCTTTCTTCTTATTGAGATATATATTTACTACATGACTTTGTGTATTCAGCAATATTCCACACACTTGCTTGAGTGGTAGAAGTCAAAAAAGAAACGTGAACTTTAAGAGTTTATAATCTAGACTACAGAATGAAACATATTGTTTGGTTTCATTTTGTTCATAATGAAATGAGTCATACAGAAATCCAGGGCAACAGAATCTGAATAAAAGGGGAGATTGTAACTGGAGAAAGCAGACTTATAAGAGAAGCTGAAACTTGACTTTGGACTTGAGGGATACTGAATTTGTCTATGAAAAAGCAAGGCTTTTCAAGGTAATTAAAAGAGTATAGGACTCAAGTTCATATATTGAAATCAAGTTACTTTTTTCTTTCAGGGGAAAACAATGAAGCTGGAATTTTGTATGGAAATATCAGCCAAGTTCAGCAGTCTGGTGGTCTGCAAAAGCACTGACAAATCAGAATCTGCCCAGGCCAAGGGAGTCACCACGTAAGATGGCCAGATGAACGGCAAAGGCAGACTACCCTCTAAAATATCTTTTATTAGCCACTATTGAACATTTCTTCAAGTCAAGTAATTATAAATGTGCTCCAAGTTACAGCTTAAGAAAACATACCCTGAGTTATCATGTCTCACAAAGACCAGGGATGCCATTTTGCATGTTTTATACATACAATCCTCTAAAATAGGTAGGAGTATGAAGAATGAATGGTAAATGATGTCCTCTGCTCTCCTGTGGGGAAAGATCTCTCTGTGAGAGCCAAATGTCATTTCCTCCAGTTTTTATACTTGTAAGACAATCAGACATTTGGAGAATAGAGTAACAAAAGGTTAATGGCAGTTGAAGGACAGAAACTGACCAAGTGGGAGCCACACTTTTCAAAGCTGCCATCCAAATACTGCACATAGTTTTCCACATGTGCTTATTATGCCAGTTTTAGGTAAATTCACCCTTCCAAGAGCAATGTGATACCCTGTGACTGTAAACTGGGAAGTCTAATCAGAAAACTCACTCACCTTGATGTGTAACTTTTCTCCCCAGCAGATTACTGAAACACACTGTATGGCAGAATTCTTCTTCCCTTACAATGTGCTGTGCTGCCCTCCATCCTTTCCCCCATAGTCTCCCTGCTGGTAAACCAGATTGCAAGCTTAACCACCAACGACCTAGAAAGACATATCTTTTGATGCCATCTGGTCCTTTCTTTTCTTGCCTTCATTCTCATGTGACTGGTGGCTCAGGAGCCTCCAGTATGGCGTTGCCAAATCATGGACCATAAGACACTGGAGGAAGAAAAGAGGACAAGAGGGGAAAAAAAAAAACAACCTTGGTTTGATTTGAAAGTCCTTACGCACTGAGAAAAAATTTGCAAGTAGCATAAGGTGATATTTTTCAAATCTCCAAGGAGTAGAAGAGTTGACATAGAGAACAAGGATTCATGAATGGCATAGTCCTGAACCTTTAGTCAAAGCAGGTTAAGAAGGTTGGGGGTGAGAAGGGTGCCTGGAGGCTCAGTTGAGCATCCAACTCTTGATTTCACTCAGGTCATAATCTCAGGGTTGTGAGATCGAGCCCCGTGTCAGGCTCTGCATTCAGTGAGGAGTCTGCTGGAGATTCTCTCTCTCCCTCTGCCCCTCCCCCTGCTCGTGCTCACCGGTGCTCTCTAAAATAAATAAGTAAATCTTTAAAATTAAAAAAAAAAAAAGGTTGGGGAAAGTTAAGGCTGATGTTCTGAATGTTTCGATGAACACCAGACTAACAACCAATAGAAAAACCTGAGATTATAAAATTTATGCAACTAGCCTTGATGGAAAACGAGAAAAAAATTCAGCCCCCTTGTTAGCATTTATTTAACTTTTCACAACACATGGAGAGCTCAGTAAAAACTATAAAATGTAAATCTTTCCTAATTTAGCATGAGGATTAGACACTGCAGTGGGGGTGCCCTGTGAGAACACTGGAATCTCCTTGCTGAGAGGGAGGGGCAAGAGAATGGAGCGATGCCAAAGCACTTTTATTTTCAAAGACACTTTGAGGTCTGTTTTAAAATAGATTTAAAAGTGGGTTTTACCCAGGGGAAGAGGCAATTTCCAGTGACTAACCTTGTTGGAGAGAAAGTTCTATCAAACTAACCCACACCTTCAAAAAGGGCAAGCCCCTTGTGGAAAAAGGAACAATTAAGAGTCTGTTTGGCTTTTATTTTGGTAGATTGGGATCCTTTTTCCCTGAAGGAACCAACGCTGCTTTGATTTCAAACCTTGTAAACTCTACTGCCAAACTGAAATATCACAGAACATGAGGGGAAATGATTTTGCTATAAAATGGCCCCTCCTAGTAGCTGTGATATTTTAAAGCGTAGGTATATTAACCACAACAGCATACCGTGTTGAGGGAGGAGAGAGGAAAGAATTCCCTTTCAGAAAAAAATGGCAAGTACCATAGGATGATGTTTTTCAAGTCTTCTCTTGAAACTCGAATCCCTCTGCCCAACAACAATATGAAATTTAACACCTGCCTGGCCTCACAAACCATCCATTGGCTGATGCCCTTGGAGGCACGGTCCTTCATTGGAACTCGCCTGTCTTTCATTCCTCCACTACGGGGTACCAAGACTTTGCCAAGTAACTAAATCAAAATGGAAAGCAAGTCAAGGGAGAGGGACAGTACTTTACTTTCCTCTCGGCTGAATGTTACGCGATGGG